AGAATCCGGCTGCAGGAAATGTTGCTTCCTGGGAGGAGGGAACACTCCAGAATGGACTAGGCAACCGCACCTCATGCTCCAGCTGGTCCATCAACCATCCCTGTGTGTTGGCCTAGTCTGTATTTTACAGGTACAAAATGCCACAGGTGTAGCCACATGGCCGAGAGAGGCAGTACACAATCCTCAATCACTGGCTTTTCTCCTGACAGCAATGGGAGAGGCCATGCAGTCAGTTATTATCTGTGGCCCAAAACCTCCCCACTGGCTGTGCAAAATCAGTGCATGGGTGTATGTCTCTCACAGCTACCTTATCCTCTGCATGCAAAGGGAAGAGCTCTTGGGGTGTCTTGCTACACCATCCTTATTACCTGCACCCTTAAGCCACGTTCCAGCTGACCAGGGAAGTGAATTGATAAAGGACTTTCAGCAAAAAGGTTCCTTCTCCTCTAACCCTGCCTGCCTGTACAGGTATGTCCACACACACCTCCTTCCACATGCACACGCACACACACACGCGCGCACACACACACACACACGTGTTTGTAGGAGCAGGGCCCAATGCAAAACCATCAAAAAATGCCAATATTAACTTCGGCTAAATTACATCTTGTCTCAAATCAGGCTACATTTGAGAAGCAAGAATGCTGTGTATTGATCACCCAATAATAAGTAATTTCTGCACTATCTAAACACAATGTGAAAGTCAGAATTACGTATTTAGTGGTTTTCTGATAAAACAAGAGAAGAATAAACTTCTTACTTCACCAAAGCTTCATCCTCTGCCTCCAGAGTACACCATTTCAAAATCCTGAGTTAGTGGGAAGATCAAACTTGGGTCCCCAGCACAAACTGGCTGTAATTTTAATCTTTTCCATTCCTCTGAGGAATTGTGTAAGCATGAGCTCTGTATGTAGCCCATCACATGTAAAATATGATGCCTATGGTCCAGAATGTGGGTCAGATACCTTAAGTTACACTGCAATAAATACTGCTAGTAAAATGCTCAAGTGTAGTTTTAGGGGGTGGATCTCCTCTAACACTAGCTTTACATTTAAAGGTGTGTTTGGAAGTGGTCTGGATGAAGAGGAAAGCAAATGAGGTTTGAAGAATTACACAGAGGAGATGATAGAAGCATTAGTGTTGAACTTAAAAGCTGTGTATTCCCAAGCAGAAGCTTTGTTCACATTTAAACAGTTTGATCATAATTTTCATTTCACTCCATCACAGGTACTTCAGAAGATTACTTGCTCCATATACCTTGCTCTGCAGGATAAGAGAGACTGTAGGTGAGTCAAACAGTTTAAACCCCTGTGAATCTGTAATTCTATGTCACCATCTCGTCACACCATGCTGTATGTATAAATAAACAAAAATCCCAGCCCAGTTTCACAAAATATCAGAACTTCACGACACAAGTGCCACTAGAGGGGGCTGGTTGTACGCAGCTCAGGTGGGTTCCTGTGCTGCAGCATAGGGAGGGTACAGGAATGGCTGGGACACCATCTTCTGGGCAAACACACCTCGCTGTGGCCGTAGCCACATAAACTGCAAGTCCTGCCCGGAACCGGGGGAAGAACCCAGATTGCTGAGCTCAACAATGCTGTATTGCTGCGTTTGGCTGCTCTCTGTTCCAAAGGTGCGTCTGCAGAGCCACCCCAAGCTGGGATGAGCACAGGTTCATCCCCAGGAAGCAATGCCCACACTCCCAGCAGTTTTAGTGGCTGCGGAACACAACTGCGCTGTGTGTTTGCATCCAGCTCTGGCACCTCATTCTCACTTCTCCAAGCTTGCCCACTTCTATTCCTATATTCCCTTGACTCCTTTTATTATTCATGTTTTCTGAAAGATATACTGAATGCCAACTCTCTCTGCTGCTGCCAGGTTAGCAATGCAAAGTACATCCCTCTACCCCTGGAGCCTGGCAGATAGGCTGGGAATCTGGGCCAGAAATCCTGAATGCATTTGTAGCTCTTTCAGTCTGAAAACACTTCCTATTAATTAGTCCTGGGAAGCTTCACAGCCATTCCTAAAATAATGGAACAAATTGCTTAAAGTTATCCTTAGATGTCCCTAGCAGCTCAATATTAGGGAACATTTTTTCTTTGGAAGACATGGAGGAATGGTCTTCCATGTGTCTGGCACAGCCCAGCTCTCACTTGGAAGCCAGAGAGTAAAGGAGCGCTGCACTTGAGATGCTGCTGCTGCTGCTGCTGCTGCTGCTGCTACTACTACTACTACTAGTATAAATTTGCACAGAAGACAATGTAACTGCAGCTCACAGCTCCTCCTCTGCCAGCCAGCTTTGAGCCCAGAGCACAGGAGGTCACATGTATCCATGTTTATCTATGCCTGCATCCTGCCTTGCAGAAGCACCTGCTGTACTCTCCAGTGTCAGAGTTCATTTTCCTCACCATAAGCAGCCAGGAACAGGTGAGGGAAAGCCAAAGGTTGCTGTTAATTTTGCTGGGCATCTTGCTAGTTCGTGGATTATTTTTGAATTTCAGCCATGGGCTCTACAGTGTGCACAAATCTTCTGGAATATATCAGTCCCAAACAACTTTGAAGAAAAAGAAAAATCTCTCTTCCTTCTTAACCATGGACCTTTTCCTTTTCTGCTCCTCTCAAAATGATGGAGTGGTTGTTCAGACTACCTGCTCCATGGTAGGCAGTGAAACTGCTGTGCTGTCTAGATCAATTTTCTCCTCTGTATGTGAAGCTTTAACACTTAGCCAGTGGCAATCTTTACGCAAGTGACACATTGCCCTGTTTTCTGTGTTTGAATAATGCTTATTATCATTTGCATAAACTTCTTCAGATCTTCCCTCTTCACTGTAATGTCCATGAGTTTTGCTTAACCTCTGAATTCCTTCTTTCAGTTCTCTTTCTGCAACATCCATTTCTACTTCTACATTTAAATGTCTCTAGTTTCACTCCCAGTCCCCATTGCTGTCTACTCCCATTTCTGGCATCCTGTACCTGGGTACTTGTACAGAGATTAACTGACCTCAGTTAAAATCCCAGCAGAAATGAGTAGTTGAGTTTTTCACTATGATTAGTATAGCAAATGAAGAAAGAGTCACAAAGTTACTTCCATCCTTCAGCTCCCCAGAAACATGATTTCAGATGTATTAACAGAGTGAAGCATAGCTGCATCCCTGGCTTGGCCTTTGTCCATAGGCACCTAAATTCTCCTTGTAGCTCCCTGAGGCACTTGAAAACTCGCTGCTGCACGCACATATGGGTTACTGTTCTGTAGAAACCACACAAGGACAACACTGAGTTCACTTGAGATTGATGAGGAGGAAGGGAGAAAGGAAACTGCCCAACTGAGCAGAGGTTGGAGCACTTACCTGGAGGTGAAAAGCATTGCTTCTGAGACTGAGTCTGAGGCGGTTTCACTACTTGTAACTTTGTTGCAGGAGAGCTCACAAGTCTATAGGAATAAAGTGATATGCTGTGGAAAGCAGAAGCAGTGGTGAGGAGAGAAAGAGGGGGGCTACTCCAGCTACATAACTGTCATCAGCTGGAGCAAGAAGTGAGCAGAAGGCACCAGCCTTTGCGGCTCAATGCTCATAGAAGCAGGAGGCCTGTGTGTTGGGCTCTGTCCTTGATGCTACTGATGCAATTTATCCAGCAATTATTTTATGACAAATGCTGTGTTTCTATCACTGGGGCACAGGTGTCCATCTGCCCATAGGAGTGCTCAGATACAAAGAAGACCTGTGTCAATAGTTTTTCATCTCTCCCTCAGCATTTTCCTCCTCTGTCTCAGAGTCCCACCTGCCTTTATAGTGCTGTATATACAACATCTGTGAAAAGCCGTTTGCAGACTTTCCATCCTCAAGTCAAACAATATGGAGTGGCTCTTCAGACACACAACAAATCCAAGGCACTTCCAAATGAAGGTTGTGAAAACACCAGGCTTGGGACAGTCCCACAGGGCCATACTGGAAAGTCCCCTTCTCCTGTTCTGTCCAGGTTGTAGTTGTGGGTATTCCACAGCCAGGGAAATCTTAGGCACTGGTTTCAGTGCATCAGGGTCCAAAGTCTATTACAGATCTGTGATAAAAATCCTTCAATATAGGAAATGTTTGCTTTGGAATAGACAAAAGTACAATGTTTGTTACAGAGATGAGAACAAAAACCCTTCAACTGTAGCTGTGAAAAAATGCTGAATTTTTGTAATTTAACCAAAAAATATGAAAATCTGCCACACTTAATAATTCTGTTATCTGTCTTGTTAAATGAATTAAAATAAAATCAGGGGTTGCGGTTTTTATTTTTTAAAATTGAGTTTCGCTGTGTTTGTAAATTGTATCACTAGTAATTGTACTATGTGGGAAACAATACGAAGCATCAACTAAGCACTTATTGAGCAGTACTGTGGTTAAGGGGTAACAAGTCAGAAACTGGAGCTCTGATTCCAGTTTTGTTGCAGACTGTCTTTGTCATCAAGTCACTTAGGCAGTGGGGTTTCGTTTGTTTGGGGATTTTGTGTTTAGAAAAAACATGAGGCATTTCAGATTTGGGGACCACCACTCACTAAAAATACGTTTTATTTTCCACAGCAAAAAAGAAATGTATTTACAAGAAATACCAAGATTTATTTACAAGACCTTCTATAGCTTGCAAAAATGTTGCAGTTTTGACAAATAGGTCCTATATGTAATTTGAAGTCTAGGAATAAAGTTATTCTTTTTTTTTTTTTTTAAGCAATGTCAAGTCTTATGATGTAAAATGGCATAATGCTAGCAGAGAGAAAGAATTTGATCTCTCTCCGGGTAACACTGGAGGAAGCACAGGGTCAGCACATAACTTCATTGATTTTACATAGGGCTGAGTCTGCCTTTCATTCTGACACAACTACATACTCTTTGATATGAAACAGACCATTCAGAGCTGAAAGCACTGATCTCATCACTCCAGCTGAGTCTTAGGTTGTCCAACAGAGTAACGTAACATAACATGAGATCTTCTATATCTTGATTATTTTATCCTGTTCAGAGTTCCTCTGCTGCAATTCGGATCACTTTCCACAAAGAACTGGACATGAGGTTTCTGTGGAATAATGATGGGTAAGCATGGAAACAAAGGGGAAGTCTTCCAAATTGAAGTATGTTCCTGTAATGTCAGATGAGCCAAAGTGCTTTGCCATACCAAGGTCCACTGCAGCAATCACAGACAGTAAAACTACACTGGGGAAGAAACTGGGACAAAAACTTCGCATCATCCTTCTAAGATTATATCCACAGCTGCAGCAACTCAACCTCCTCACTCATAAATGCAGATTAAAGAAATTAGCTGGCCTCAAAATTACTGTGGTTCATCACCAGAGAAGGTGCTTAAACTTCTTCAGCTCCACTTTAGCAGAGGCCCACACCATTGCAAAGAAGTAATTACTCTGGTCTTAATGTACAGTCTGCGTGGCTCCCATGGGAAAGAAGCAGACAGATACATCAAAAATAGAAAGATGAACTGTACAGTGGAATGAGGTGAAGACAGAGGGAAGAAAATGATTCTGCAATTCCCAGAAATGGAGCTGATATAATTTTTGTCTCAGACAGGAGCTTCAGGTCAATCGCCCTTCCAAACAGACTGGTTTGATGCACAACCACAATATGAAGCTGGAGGACAGGTGGCAGTGTAAAGTCCTAGGAACCATAGATACAAGAAAATATTTGCATGCCTAATGAATCTCTCTTAAAAGTAGTTTCACATTCATTCAGCTACACTCAGAATCTGAACTGAGCATAGCTGGCTGGAAACCATGATGTACCCCATATAATATAATAGCAGGCTTTGATCAACATTAATTTCATGTGAAAGAGTTGACCAATTATGAACTTTCACTCTCCAAATACTTGCACAGTTACTGATTAGGGGCCATCTATGAATATTTCTTGCTCACGATATGCCTTAGGGGAGGGAGCAAGGAAACGGGACGTACTACTGTATTACTCATCCCAATTTTTTACTGTCTTCTGTGTTCTGTAGATATCTTTCCTTCAGATTATTTCTGGAGAAGCAAAGGGCACCCAGACAAGTGAGCTTCTGAAGCTAATTCTGAATCTTTTCTTTCAGAACAAGGGATGTATGAAGTTATTTTCCATACATTATAGTATTATATATAGAGGATTTTAGTGGAAGATTCAAAATCCCAGATGGCAAAGCAGAGAGCTGGTTCTCTTCAGTGTTCAGACATTTCAGTTTTCAGTAGTTTTAGGGACCACTAGGCATTTACAGGCTCTTCACACTACATCCACAGTCAACTTGACCACAGTTATATAATGTCCTAAGTCCTGTTTGATGAATTAATAAACCAAGCTGGTATGTATATAAAAAATGCTATGTGTTTCTCACAGTACACTTTACATTCTAGACACAACTGTACATACAAGGCTTTTCTAATGATAATTTAAATACCTGGGTTATCTAGAGGGACAGGGGTGTGTGTACCTGAATGCATTAGACCTGTGCAGAGACAACATCAACACTAAGGTCAACAAAGAGCAACCCTATCTCGTGTATGGATAAATCCTTTTCTACAGTTTCTATTTGGTGGGTTCCCATTTTAATTCTTATCTCACCAGCACTTCACACTGTTTGAAAATAACCACCCATGGTTTAGAAATACAGTTTCTCTTTCCTTTTGATACAAATCAGGAGTATGTGGACATGTATGGCTCAAATGAGGGAATGATCATGTTTTGCATGGGGATATTCAACTTACAGCTATCAACAAGATGCTTGCAAAAAGTGGCTGGCTCTACACTACCCACAGCTATTTCTGGTATGCAATTATCATCTACTGTTTTTGTTTAAATGAGACCTTCACATAGGACAGGATTAAGAAGAGGGAGGGAGGGAGAATGAATCTTCCCAATGTATTCAGTGACACAATTAATATCCAAGTGTGGTCCACAACATTTTGATGTACGAATCTATTTTCATTTTATGTTGTTTATATACATGAGGTTCTTGATGTCATTAGGAATGAAGCTAATGTCATTATAGGCAGCATCCAGACACTAGAGATTTTCTAATAAAAACAACCTAAAAGAAAGAAAACAGAATGATGAATTAGAAACACAACAGAGAATTGTAGAGTCAGAATAATTTAGGCTGAAGGGGACCTCTGGAGATCATCTAGTCCAGCTCTGCAGCTCGGGTCACAAAAGGAGTAGTGAAGATTTTCGAAAAAGGGGTTTGACTGCTAGAAGGACCTTAATTTAAGTCACTTTTCTAATTTTTATGGTCTTATATAGTTGGGTACACACAGATGATGAGTCAGAAAGGTGGAGGGGGAGGATCGCATTTTTTTAAAAGTTTGAAAAATACTGGTTTATCTCCTTAGGTCAAGAGCCCAGTGCTCCTGAGGGAGACAACTGAAGGTCTAAACCGGTGCTACTCTGAGACAGGGTTTGGAGAAGATGACCTCCAAAACTCCCTTCCAGCCTGCATCTACAACTCTAAGTCATCCAAGGATAGCCTTACCCAGGCAGACACAGTCCTGGGCCTGATCAGGGGAAACCATCGTAAGAAATTTCTTCCCTATATCTAATCTAAATCTGCCCTCTTTTAGTTTGAAACCATTACCCCTTGTGCTATTGCAACAGACCCTGCTAAAAAGTTTGTTCCCATCTTTCCTGTAAGACCCTTGATGTGCTGGAAGGCTATAAACTATAAGGTCTCCCTGGAGCCTTCTCTTCTCCAGAATGAACAATCCCAACTCTCTCAGCTGTTCCTTATAGGAGAGATGTTCCATTTCTCTGATCATCTTCGTAGCCTCCTCTGGACCTGCTCCAGGCCTATGTCCTTCTTATTTTGGGTGTGACCAAAGCTGGACTCAGTACTCCACTTGGGGTCTTAGGAGAGTGGACTTTGAGGGGCAGAATCACCTCCCTCAACCTGCTTTCCATGATGCCTTTGATGCAGTCCAGGATACAGCTGGCTTTCTGGGCTGCCAGCATATATTGCTGGGTCATGTTCAGTCTCTAATTCACCAGTACCCACTCTGCTCACCCACCAGTGTTCTCTCTGCTTTCATGAATAAGTATTATTCTGCAAGGTAGGAATTTTTTTTGGATTAGAGAGTCTAAAATAAAGTGAGGACACTTTTTGAAGCCTATAGTGTGTACAATAACATACAAGAGGGTAGAGGATGACAAGCCCTAAATCATTCGATTAATATGGAAAAAGGGGACAAATCATGTGCAGTCTTGTTTGTTCTACTTTGTAGGCTGGGCATCTGCATGAACCACCCACAGCACTACAGTAGAGGTTTTTTTTAGAGGAAGCTGTTTGCTCCCACCAAGAAAAACTGGAGATGAATGAATACTTTTGCAATGTAGATGATGAGGGAACCAACATGAAATAGAGCACAGACACTGACACATGAGCTCTACACCTGCAGTCATTGAGAGAGCAAGGTCATGTCTCTCTTGTCAGTGCCTTGGTTCAGGCTTTCCTAATTGTGTGATGAAATAAGTGGCCCAGTTCTGTGGTTGTCTCTAAACTCTGTTATTTTTGGCTTGCATTTTCTTTTTATCCCACTCTCCCATGTTGTTCCAACTGTGTTAGACTTTCCTTTGTAACCTTCTGAAGGCATATTGAATATAGAAGCCTAGTCAAATTCGGGACTATAGTCATCCCCTAGAGAGGATCCAAACCATCCAAACATGCAGTCCAAAACATCTCCAGAGCCCAGGCAGACAAATTATTTTTCAGTTTGTTGCTCTTTTATTAAATTCTTTCTTTCATTTCTAACCTAGGAAATTTTATACAAACTCTGATAGGAGAGCACTGCTTATGTATATTAAAATTATTATTATTATTATTATTATTACATACACTGTCTCAAACTACATAGATGCTGAGATAATATTTAACTATTGTCACATATCATTTCAAATGCATGTTAGTGTATATAATCTGGCATCTAGTTCTGTGTAAACCAGACAATCCTTTTCATGACAGATATACAATAAAGTATACCAATATAACATACATTACTTATTAATACCTCTAGTAATATCAAATCTAAATCTAAGTGTTCCAATAAAATTTAAGTTATAATAAGTAGGTAGATGAATGCAAATAATCAAGATTAATATAATGAAAGAGAATTTATATACTTCATTGGAGTTTAGAATTTTCTTAGATTCCTGGCATCCGTTTTGCAGGAAAAGCAATGCTTCAGTGCTGAAGTACCAGGTAGTAACAGACGACTATAGTCAGACAGCACTGTCTATATTTCATGAAAATTAAAAATCCGAATGAAAATCTTTCTTTGTGTATACTAAAATCTACAACATGTGATTCGAAAGATGAAAACCATTGCCTGCAAAAATGAAAATCCAATGCAGACATGCAGGTGATGGTAGCTGTGAAACAGTCAAGAGATGTAGTATGAACAAGACAGTTTGGGGAAAAACTGATCTCTAGGTCCCAAGTGGAAATGTTGTGTCACTTCTTGTAGCAGAAAATTGCTTTTAGCCTTCAGGTATATCCTTTAAATATGCATTACTCATGTTGTGTTTAAGAGTCAATAGCAGCTTTCATTCAAAGGGTCTTTTGGAACTGTAACCTTGAAAAATGATCTTGTAGTTCTTAGGCTGTCACTGCATGAAATAGAAGTGCTTAGAATTATTTAAAACTAAATATTAATTACTTAAAACTTAATATTATTGTAACTGTAGGATAACTGATTTACATGCTTTTTTCTGTAGTACCCTTGCCTTAAGTTCTCCATTGTTTATTTCTCCTTTCTTTTGTCTCACCTTTTTTGCTGTTTCCTTTGTACCTTTACTGTGTCTCATCTTCTTCCTGATGCATTCTGGATAATTTTCATGGCACTTGCTCAGCACTACACCTATTGTGAAAGTGGAATTCAACCCAAGTTATGTCAGCACCACACAAAGCTGGTTTGGCATTTTGCTGCCTGGCTAGACAGGAATACTTGCATTTATGCCTGGTGAAGACCAATATGCAGGGTTGTTATTCTTATAACTAGACCTGGGAACTATCTATCATCATTCTGCTCCATTTTCACTGTCAGGAAACTGGCTTCAGAGAGAATCAAACCTCTCCTTAGGTCAGGCAAACCTGTAGCTTTGGTCTGGAACAGTGTTTGTCCATGGTTACTATCCTGATTAAGGAGATAAGCATATCTGTGTTGGAAACGTACAAGGCAAGAACAAACGTGGACATTTTGTGTATTGCCAGGCTGCAACTGAGTCTGAAGAAATAGTTCTTTGAGCTGGATTTGTGTTTGACTGTGGCAAATCTGACAAACAGACTGGTGTGTATCTTTAGGCTGGATTTTCAAGGGACTGTGGGATATGTGCTCATTGCTGCAGGAAGCATCTGTCTGCTTGACTTGCCCTTGAACACTGCCAGACTCTTCTACTATTTTCATAATTTGTGCCCTTTATTGCCCTAGTTAGATACTGTCCAAAAATCCCTCCTGCTGAAAACAAGAGGAAAAAAGACATTTATAATGAGGCATGCTCTGGCATCATTTTTGAGGAAAAGATTGTGTTACAAATTCTCCATGCCCTATATGGATTTTTCTTGTTCAGAGAAAATGCACCAACAATTAAGACTAAGCATCTCAGTGCTGCCAATTGCAAAATACGTTCTTTTTTTTTTTTTTTCAACACAAATGCAGTTCACTACACACTGTTTTGAATTATGTGAAGTATGCAGTAGAAGAACTGGATAGTAGAAGAGCAGGACAGAAAGGGCAAGTTTTCAGAGGCACCTTGTGAGTTTAATGAAGAATGAATGAGCAGTGTTTGTTCTACTATGTGTGAAATACAGCCATTTGTATCACTGACAAGTCCCTCTTTAGGGATCTTCAATCCATTTGCAAGGAGCCATGTGCCAATGCAATGTGATCTTTCACCTGAGAAGTAGGTGAGGCTCTTTCAGTGATTGTTGCCCTGTGTGCTCTATAGTGTTCCCTGTATCACTTAAACCTCATGCTAATCCTACTGAATGGGAAAGGCAACTTGGGCAGATTCCGTATGAAAAAAGCACCATGGAAGGGGCGTGTTTAAAGTACAATGACGAAAGTGAAGTCAGTTGTGGTCGGACTGTGAAAGGAACAAAGAAATCAGCTTATAAAAATTGTCTCAACAGTGACTGTAGGATCAGGCACTTCGCAGAATTTCAGTCACAGGCAGCTTCACAGAATTTCTGATGCCTTCTATAGGTGTTGCTTTTGTGACTGTGGTCATGGGGTGGGTAATGGGTCAAACTGTCAGACGTGCCTTAAATCTATAAAGAATTGATGAAGCTGATTGTGACAAACATGACCTGGGCCCCTAGCTTACCTTGAACCTGGGTCATGCAAGGGCTAACAATGGGACAATATCTGGAGTAAAGCAGAGGCCTCCCAGACTGATGTTGTTGCAGTGAGACACAAAGAGCACTCACACCACTGTACCGTCCATTGGCCTCACTCTTCCTTCACTGCGTGTAACAAGCCTTGTTTCAGATCTGGTCTGTTAAGGAGACAAGGATGCATGCACAGATTCTCTGGTGAAGCTCAGACAGCCTTTACTGTCATGTCAGCATGTGGAGGATGATCAAAGTGTTTATTCTACCTCTTGTGTTGACTGTAAATTCTGAGCAAAATTAACCAAGACCCTCATTAAGCCAAATTTGCGTATAAACTTACATCCCTCTAAGAATGCAAATGAAAAATTAACATGCCTTACATGTATGACCACAGTCACCAAAATCCCACTTATAGAAAGTGTTTGTTCTACCTTATCAAGAAAGGCCAAAATTATATTATGAGACAAGGGGAGTTATGTGACTAAAAAAAAAAAAAAAAAGGAGAAAAGAGAAGGAGAAGAACCTTTGCCTGCTCTGGATGGGTCAATGGACAGTGCTTCTCCTCCCTGAAGGGATGCTGAGGTGAGCTTTGCACCTTCAACTGTGTTGGAGCAGATATATTATACATGTATTTAGTATATATAGGTCGCTAATAGACCTCTGTTACTATGCCTTCAGTAGCGACAAATATTAACACTCAGTGAATTTACCACCAACAATTCTGAACCTGCTTTCCTGTTGCTTCAATAAACTGAACTGTTTTTGAATCTGGATCATACAAGTTCTTATTGAATTTGACCAGGCTGGTAGTGCCAAATTTGCCGTAATCAGAAATTAAGCCCAGCCACACCGAGCCCCTCTGATCTTTGAGGACCAGCTGGAGTTCAAGGGGCTTTATTTTCTGCTAGATTTTTTATATCCTTAATGCAACAGTTGGCACTGAGCCCTAGTGTCCTACACCACTGTGGTGAGTTGACCCTGGCTGTATGCCAGGTGCCCACCAAAACTGCTCTGCCATTCCCCTGGGCTAGACAGGGAGGCAAAATATAATGACAGTCTTGTGGGTTGAGACAAGGACAGGGAGAGATCATTCACCAGTTAGCATCATGGGGAAAACAGATTCGACCTGGGGAAATTACACGAATTTATTACCAATTGAATCAGAGTAGAGTAATGAGAAATAAAACAAAATCTTAAAACATCTTCCCCTCACACCTGCCTTTCTGGGCTTAACTTGACTCCTGATTTCTCTATGTCGTCCCCCTCAGTGGCGCAGGAGAATGGGGAATGGGGATTGTGGTCAGTTGTCACATCGTCTCTGATGCTCCTTCCTCCTTGGGTCTCTTTGCACTCTTCCCCTGCTCCAGCATGGGTCTCTCCCATGGGAGTTCTCCACACACACCTCTGACATAAGAACTTCTCATAGGCTGCAGGAGCACAGCTGTCTCACCATGGTCTTCACCACAGGCTGTAGGGGAATCTGTGTTCCAGCACCTGGATCACCTCCTCCTCCTCCTTCTTCACTGACCTTGGTGTCTGCAGGGCTGTTTCTCTCAGGTATTCTCAGTCATTTCATCTCTGGATAAGATTGCTTCTGTGCAATAACATTTTTTCCCTTCTTAAATCTCCTATCCCACAGGTGCTACCACTGTTGCTGATGGGCTCAGCACTGGCCATTGGCAGGTCCATCCTGGAGCCAGCTGGCATTGCCTCTGTTGGACATAGGGGAGGCTTCTGGCAGCTTCTCACAGAAGACACCCTTCCTACCAAAACTGTGCCATGGAAACTAAATGTATCAAAGGTTCAGTTCATACACCTCACATTAAAATTGGATTTTGGATACTTCTATCAGGGCTACCTCCAAAGGCCTCATTCTGGAGGACCATTGATTCCTTAGCTGGTCCCCAGAACAGTACTGCAGCCAGCAGTCAGTTAGTTCTGAAAATTTTTATCAACAAAGAAATACTTAGTGAATTATCCTTCATTCAGCCTGTTTAATTCCACAAGGTTTGTGCTCTGTACCTTGTGCTAGGGAGATTCGTTTCCAGGGTCCTTCTGAGGGAGAAGTCACTCTTTATAGCTCTCTGCTACAACTCAGTTCTCAAAGAAAGCTGGAGCTATTGGCTTACCTCCTTGATTTTCTTGACCCACCACAGTGACTGACAGCTTTCAACCTTCAGCTGGGCACAGTCCACCCCCATGACATTTCTGCTGCCTTTTCAATCAACTTCATTTTGTAACATACTCACTTTCTACACTCCCCTGTGAGGAAAAGACACTTTGACCACATGACATTATTTTTTTTTTCTAGGCCAGGGCTTCTGCTCTTAGGTTTCAGTCTCACACTGCACGAAGCACAAAACAATTCCATCCACCAAAATGATGGAATTACCGTTGATGAAGTGTTGCTTACTGATCAATGGGCATGCTGCTGTATAAATATCTTCCAGGTCTGATAGTTACATTTGGAGAAAATGATCCTTAAACAAACTTTAAAGTGAGCTCTTAGATTTTTGTCATGTTTACTGTACAAATACGCAATCTATAAATAGTATTCATCACTAATAAGTACTACTGCAACAAGAGCCATCACAACAGAACTTTATTTCAGGATACAAGGTTTATCTATAATTTTTAAAACTGTTTAAATCATTGAAACACAGCTCTGGTAGTGAGCCAGAAATATTTACATCTGTTTGGGCAGCACCAGACTGGAACTGTATTGTACAGAAGCAGATTTTACCAGCCTTTTAAACTAATATTCAGACGGGCTTAATAGTATCAAAGGAACAATAATTGTATTATCTGACTTTTCAACCTTACTTCTCTAACTGAATTTTCTTTACTATTTTTCATACTGTTATAAAGGTATTACTTTTAATATATTATTGTTATTCTTTCTAATTTAATATTACATAGTGATGATAAGAAATATAGTATGACAGTATTCTAACAAAATGAAAATTCAAATTACCATTTCTCTCAAACATAATAAAAATTATTTTAATTTATTTTCTTTCTCTTTGCCTGTTTTATTGACTATTTGAATATTGAGGAGTTTTAGCTATTTAAATACTTCTATAGAATTACAGAAGTTAAATGGATTAAAAAACAAAACTTGATTTGGTCTCTTTATCTCAGTTCAAAGGGGTAGCATTTTTTTTCATGCTACAACTTTGTTCTACTGTGCTGATCTGAGAAAAAACATTGTAAGTTTTCTGTATGCTATTCTTCTGCAGCAGACTCTGGGGCTTGATGATGTTGACAGAAGTCAGTGAACCTGTACATATGCCAGAGTCCTTTCCTACAGATCTGTTTTAAGGAGTGGTGCCTAGTTTCCATCTTGCTTTTGTATTACTTAGGTTAAAAATGTTTTGATTACAGATCATGTTATTGTTTTGCACATTTATTTTTAAAGGTTAGTCCTTAAATATTTAATCAATAGCTACTTTATATAAACTGGAAAGATCTTTTCATTCACATATATAGGCACACAGATGTCCTGGTTATTTCTGAAGCATACTGCATGGCAAGTCCTTTGTTTTAATTAGAAACCCCTGATGAGTGTAAAATAATATAAGCCAAAATTTGTCTTTTCACAGGGATGTATATTCTGAGAAGAGCAGGACCATCCGCCAAAACATAATTTTTTTCATTTTTTCTGAATCCAGGTTGTATCTCACTTCCCCTGTGGTCTGACTCCACGTGATCTAATTTAATTTTTCTTGATGCCAGCAGTTTTCCATGTTATCTCTCATATTTTTTGATGAGCTAGGGGGAATGCCTCTGTTATCCAGTGGGTAGTATTCAAATCTGATAGGTGGAATACTCAGCTTCCAGGACCTGCCCGAAAGACTCTTTCCCTATTTAAAAGAAGAGCATCCCCAAAAGATGCAGGTCATGTGGGTCATACTGCAGTCTCATTCACACTGCTTTGCACTAGTAACCTAACTGCCAATCTATGTTCTTCTATGTTAATTTTAGAGAACACATGGAATTTTTACCCATGCACTTCAGGAACTGTCTTTGTGCAGTTTACCTTTCTCAACATTCTCCCTTGGCATAAACAGTTTAGACAGCAGCTTAGGAGGAAGGTCTGTGAAATGGTTTTGGCTGCTCAACCATTTCCTGCTTACCCTTTGTTCCTGATGGATGACTGAAGATATTTCAAAAATCAGAAAAAATCTTACAGTGCAAAACAAAAGAAATAATCATCTCTAGTTTAAGGTGCTGAGCTATAAATGTCTGCTTAAATAAATCAGATTATTAAAGTCACAAAACATAAGAAGTGGCCAAAAAGGGCATTGGTTCTCTTACTGACTCATTCAACAGTTTTCCTATTTTATCATTGCTGTTTCAGGAAAAAAATCAGTGACACACACACAAACACAAAAAAGACCTATTCTATTGACTTCAAATGCTTTCATTAAAGAATGTTTTTCAGCACTTGGGATGGTCCTGTGCAGCACCATGAGTTGGATTTTGATGATCCTTGTGGGTCCCTCCCAACTCAGGATATTCTATGATTCTAGGATTTTATAATTCTATGACCTCTGTCACAAAAGGTGAGGCAATTAGGGTATTTAATCTCTGAGCCAAAGAAGGAACAGTAAAATACAGAAATGCCTCATGTCAACCACGAAAGCTCTGAAAGCTTCTGAGAAACAGTTTTTTGCTGGATAAACAGATTTAATAAGAGCAACTGTTAACCCTTGTAAAAAGCCGAGTCTGCAAGTAGCAAATTTAAGCTTCTTTCTGGTTTTCTATTAGTTTATGAATGCATACAATGGCACTGATTTTAATCAAAGACTCCCTGATTTGGTTTCAGAAATCCTCTGAATAGTAGCCAATTTTAACAAAACTCTGATTCACAGTAGTTTTCAAGATTGTCTACATCCTAAATTGCAGAGATTGTTGGTCATATATTTTTTTCCTTGTAGGGCTAAATATATATATAAGACATCACACAGTATAAAGACTCAGTCCTAAAGAACTGGACATCAGAAAGACAACAGAAAAGGGAAAGCACTGATGAAAGTGACTGAAGAGAAACTGAAAGTGCCATCAGGAAGCTAATGGCTCACAGAAAGATTTACAAAGTTAAGAAAACTGTCACACACAACTAGAAGTAAGGACATCTTCAGGAAAAATTTTTTTCAGTAATTTAATTTGAAAGTAGATAAAGTTGGGACTTTGGTGCAATTTTTCATGTCGAAAAGATTAATTTAAATGGGTAGCATTATATAAAACTGTGATGAAAAAAACTAAGACAGTCCTGAAGCCTATAAGCAGAAATGAATTCAGATTTGAAACTTACCTAGTGGACTTGAACGGCAATTAAACAAGTGGTTGGAGAACTGGAGAAACAGGAGAAGATTGAAAAGGAAGCCTGGAGTTCAACTATAACCATGCTGAGCTTGAATAAATGGGCAAATATTGCAACAAGATACCACGACACAATGTTAACCAGAGGCTGGGGACAGTAACCTGGCAATAAACTGGAGGTATAGGAGGAAGAATATATAATATATATTATATATATAATATGTATATTATATATAATATATATAAAATATATACAAAATATATTATATATTTTGTATATAATATATATATCATATTAAAAAAAAACCAACCAAACATGAAACAACACAATAACAGCAACAATAACTCTCCTCCCTCCTCCAATGCACGGCTTCTTAAAAAGCCGAAGAAGCTGAGTTTGAAGAACAGGAACAAAATGCTCTATAAACCATGTTTGTACTTCCCTGATGATACACTGCATCTTAGCATTCCAGTCTTTTACTCTTCAAGATAAAGGTTCTGGCACCTGCCTCATGGATCATTGCATGCTTGGAAGATACCCCAGGATGTGTCTAGTCCAACCTCCTGGTCACAGTAGGCTTGACTATGAGGTCTGAGCAGATCGCTCAGAGCTGTACCCGAAGGTGGAGACACCACACCCCTTCTGGGCAACCTCTGGGCCTCCTACCAACATCGATAAAAAACAAGACATAGAGTACACACCTGATTAGGGCACATATTTAAAGGTAAGTCTTCTTGTTTTCTCTCATTTATAGGTAACCTCTATTGAAACTGGCTGACAGATCAAAGATGTAGAGAAATGTTCACAGACTTGGTTAAGAAGAAATTATCAGTGCCTTGAGGAGCAGTGCCTGCAAAATTCCTGGCAGAAGAACAGATTGGAAAAAAACGAAGGCCTAGGGTGGAAGTGGAGTGAAAGAATTCCTCATAGTGAGTATACACAGCATGTTCGATTGACTCACAGATAGGGAAGGTGGTGAAAGCATAAGAGGAGACCTGAAGTTATGGAGATGAGCAAGACTGATAAAAAGAAAAGCGGGAGTCTCAGTGGGGGGAGTGGAGCAAATGCCACACAGACAAGAAACACTAGTGCTTCTGGAAGTGAAGAAAAGTAGAGTTGTACAAGCTACAGGAGACAGAAAGGAGGATAAAAGCAAGTCAAAGGGAGAGGGAATAAAATTTTCTCATGAGATAAAATTGACCATTATATTTGGTGAGTTTCTAGAAAAAAATAAAAATGAAAGCAGAACACAGAAGTATAAAGGCTGTGGCCACAAAAATATGGCTGTAGTCACTACCGTAGGTGTAATCTAGTTCAAGGCTCCAGACAGTTGAGCCAGCAAGACTTATCAGTGCTGCAGAAGGGAAGAAGGAAACTAGTAGTGAGGAAATTCAACCTGGTGAAGGATACAGGAGCAAAGGAAGGATGTGTCTGTGATGAACCCTGCCAATTCTCCTTGCTGTGCAAGAAGACCAAAGTCACGGTCTGAAGGTGGGGGAGTGGGAACCGATTCACAACAAACATATCATGAAGAGGGACAGTGGTAAAGAGAGACTTCAGATGTGAATCCAAAGGAACCTGGATAAAGTTGTATTCTACTCTAACCATGGCCAAATATCAGGAACTTTCTGCTGCACAGTATCAAAACCACGTTAACACTGCTGGGGAAGAAGCATCTGTTCTGTGTTTCGGCTTGGAGCAGAACTCGTTACAGAGGTACCCTTAAAATATGTATTTCATTGAGCAATACAGTGACTGTCCAGCGTACCACAAGACTCCCGGTGGAGGGGCGTGTCCTGGGGCGTGCCCACACGGGGGACGGACGGGGCACAGGCGGCGGCGCCGGTGGGAGCGGGCGGAGGGGCTGCGGCAGCGGGAGCGCGCCCACCTCCCGCTGCCGGCATCGCCTGTTGCTGCGCCGCTCCTCGCTGGTAACTATTCTCTGTAATTGTCATTGATAGGTGGAGGAAATGATGATGGTGGATTTATCATCATCATCATCATCATTATTACTGTTATTGTTGTTATTGTTATTGTTGTTATTATTATTTTCCACTCTGTGCTTACGGAAAAAAAAGATTAAAGTCACAATTAAATGGATCCCCCGCCGCCCGCCAGGGAGGGCCCGGGGAGAGCGGACACCAGGCAAGCGGTGACTGTCTCCGCTGCGGGACAAGGGGGAGCGATGCGGGAATCCCGGCAGCGAGCCTTCTCCCTGCGGGACCGAGGGGAGCCGTGCCAGAGTGCCAGCAGTGACCTTTCGAGGTGCGGGACCGGGGGGAGCAGTGCGGGAATCCCGGCGGTGACTCTTTCCGCTGCGGGGAGCGGTGCAGGAGTGCCGGCGGCGATCCAGGCGGGGATGGCACGGGGCGCGGGGTGCGGTGCGTGACTGAGAACGCGGGTGCGGGTGCGGAGCCGTTCTCGGGAAGCGGACAGGATCGGAGGGGTGGACGCGGTGCTCCCTGCTCCTGCTTTCAAGCTCTGCCCTGCCGCAGCAGTGCCGCTGGCTATACTGGATGGGGTAGTAGTTGTAAAGCTGGTGCTTCTTTGTGCAAACTGGGTCGAGCTGCGCCAAACCTCTTCAAATTAACCTCGGAAATATAATTACTTTGAGAAATAGGCCCGACACCGCAGTCCTGATTCGAACAAGCCCCATTTGATCAAGTGTGATAGAAATCTTGTCTGGATACAAAGTCTTTTGAGCATGACTTAGAAATATAGGATAGGAGAGGGATTGGAGAGGGCGGGATACTGAAGTGGAGGCAGTTTTAGCATCTCTGGTAGCCAAAAATGTTCTCTTCAGGTTGCATTTAGGGACTGATGAGTAGTCTGCATCTGTGTTACATGAACACAAACCACCCAGAATAGTTTTCTCTGTCAGAAACTGCTTAGCTGATACATTTAATCTTAGTATTTATTTTAAATTAGTTTTTGTACACAGGATCCCACTAAAGACAACTTCTTTATAACTGTAATAGTTCGCAAATTTCTGAAGGACATTTCCTTTGCCTCACTATGGAAATGAAGAAGCTGGTTTGCATGTTGCAGATGACTCTGCTGTTTGTCTCCTGCCTGCAAGGTTAACGTTTCCCTACCAGGCTGGCAGCAATCAATTTTCTCTGCTTCTCCTCTTCCTTTGCATGTACTTCACTGTGTAAAGTGAGTGGAATAGGCTGAGGCAAAAATTTGGATGTCTTTTCTCAAAAAAAGCTGCGTAAATGAAATTAAAGATATGGTCACAACATGCATAATAGATGCCGGAGGGGAATTATTTACATAACACACAAAAGCATTTACTTTTTTTTTTTATGTAATCATCATTCAAGAATCAATACTGTGTCCGAGTGATTTATTTTATCATTGACTTTTATGCTTAGCAGTGCGAGATTCAAAGCAAAATGTCACAGCAAACAAATACATGTTACGTGTTTGCCATGTGGAACTGTAGCTCTCCCCTGTTAGGCTGTGAGTTCTTTTAGGCAGGACCACTGGTGTCACCATCTTTGTAATGGTTGTGTCTGCACCATGGTGCAGCCCCTCAGTGTGTGGTGCTCAGGGCTGGCAGGACACCTTACTGCCCGTCCTAGCATGCCTTTCTGTGGGAGGTGGAATGGGGGTGTTCGTGCTTACCTTTGTGTTTGGAGTTAGGGTACAGCCAAGGTGAACGTCCAAACCTGGGAGCCCAGACACACTTCCGAGTCCCTTGGCGTATGCAGTGAAGATGACACCCTGAGGAAGGCTAGGAGGATACCCACAGGATACCAGAATCTCCCTGCTGAAATGTTTTGTATGTGTTCCT